AAACTGAATCAGGGCAGCGAGGGAGAGTGGAGGGGCCACTTCAGTTTGGGTTGCTAGAGGTGGCTTCCTTGAAGCAAGATCATGAAATCTGAGGCTTGTTTATGTAAAAGGGCCAGCCATGCGGGGATCTGGAGGGAAATACGTTCCAGGCGCATAGAAGAGAAAAGTCAAAGACCCTTAGGTAGCAATGGGCTCTGTGCATTTAACATACAAAAGATGTCTAGTATGGCTTAAGAGAAATGAATAAAAAGATGAAAGAGGAGAGAAAATGGGAAAATTAGGCAGGGGCCAGGTCATAAGAGCCTTGTAACTACATTTACAAGCTAGCTGCTCTGTGAAGAGTGGATTGCAGGGGGCAAGCATGGCAATAAGGAGACCAGTGAGGAGGCTGTTAGGTGAGCAAACGGATGACCATAAAATGTGTCATCCAAACCAGGATACTTGTGCAAGTGAATGGGATGCTACACACAATTAATCAGGGACAAGAGGCGTAACCAGGACTTGCCATTGACTAAGCTCTAGCTGCAGCTGACATGCCCCAGCCAGGTTGTCATAGGAAGTTCAGCAGTTTTTAGCAGTTCTGCTCTGACACAAAACTCCCGGCTCCAGGAGGAGGAATCACTTTTCTATTTGGTCCCAGGTTCCTGGCCGGGTGCCCCGTGCCTGAGCATTTGGTTTTTGTCTCAGTGCCATGGGCTATAGTTACAGCACATAGAGGGAGCAAGGCTTTTTCTCTGTGCTGTCTGGCGCAGGGGCTGCCCACTCTCAGCGACAACCAACAGCACACAGATGGAAGTACAAACGTGAGTATGTGGCCACCCCTTCTCCAAGTCACGTTGAGAGGGTGGAAGTCACAGAAGCATGAACAAGCTCTGCGTTCCAGAGCAGGGATTCTTAACTTGGACTTCAGGGGGTCTATGAAGCAGGTGCAAGACCCCCAAGCTCTCACCAGAGTCTCAAATCTAAGACTCCAAAAGAGATAACCTTTCATTTACAGAGCAGTGGTTCTCACACTTCAATGTGCGTCAGAATCACCTGGAGGGCTTGTTACAATAAGGATTGCTGGGCTCTAACAGGCGCTGATACAGTTCAGTCTGGAGTGAGGCCCAAGTATTTACATTTCTAATAATTTCCAAGGGGATGCTCTTGGTCCAGGTGCCAACTTTGAGAATTGCTACATTAGAGGGTACAAAAAACATGAGGGATTTTAGGTTAAATGATAATATTCCCTTTTCAGACGAGAGTTCTAACAAATGCCACAGCCCTTTAAACCACCCTTAAATCCCAAGGAATTTCGTATTTTATTTTTGGAATAAGCCCCTGGAGAATGACAGGCTCTGGACCTCCCCTCGGAGGTCAGGAAGCATCTGGGAAATAGCATTTTAGAGGACGCAGGGAAATGCTTTCAGAAACGTGAAAGCCCAAGCAAAACTCTGAGCTGGAAACTACAGGGCTGGCCCCGGCAGATCTGGGCAGACCCAGACCTCTTAGAGACTGCTCCCTGATCCTCCCTGAGCCTCTACTAGATGGGCCAAGGTAGGAGGTCTGCTGTAAGGAAGACATAGTGTCTGCTATGGCGTGTAAAAAGAAAGAAACCAACAACTCTGCTAGACAGAATTCAAGAGCTCCATTCACAGAGCCCTTTGATCGGGTCATTGTGGTGAGGGCGGGAAGAGGCAGGAATAGTACTCAGGGCAGTGCTTACCTCAAGCAAGAGCAGTGGAGAGAGGCCTGAAAGGGCCATTTGCCAGTTTTCTTCAGACCTGCTCTAAGTCATTCCCTCATGAAAGTGGAGGGGCAAAATGAAATTGTGAATTCATTCATGACTCAAACTTCAAAACATGAATTGTGGCTTTGGAACTATACAGAGAAGTCCTCACTTGCTACAGAGAACATTGGCTTTGCCATCCTGAGCTAAATACATCCTGAGGTGAGGCAACATCAAAGTCAGGGAGACCCTACAAGTTAGGGGAACAGGAGGCAGGATTTCACAGGGAAGTCGATATACTAGAGTGGAGATGAAGGATGTGCTTTGGCATCAGCCTGCCAGAACTGGTGACTTGAATTCTGTGTGACCCTGGGCATGTTACTTAATTTCTCTGCCCCTTAGTTTCCTCTTCTGTAAGATGGGGACAATAATAGTGCCTATCTCCTAGGGTTGGAATAAGAATCAAAAGACACAACCTAGATAAAAAACTTAGCTTGGTGCCTTGCATATTTTAAGTACTCAGCATTAGTTTAAAAAAAGTAAAAATGGTGGCCTTGGGAAAATTTAGGACGGTGGCAGTATAGACTCACCTGGGTGTCGCAGCCTGAGACAGAGAAAGAAAGCAGAGCTAGGTTGGAGCTACTGCCAGTCTCCCTTGGAGGCTGAGAGAAAAACTGGGCCCTAGGGCAGGCCTGAGGCATGAGCTGGGCACGCAGGGCTAGTCAGGACTCTTAGGATGGTCGGGTTAACTGGGCGACCCTGCTGGCTATCCTGCTCTTTTAAACATTGCAACATTCAATGAGAGTTTTTGTGACATTTTCTCACTGCCAACCTAAGTGCCAAATGACCTGATTTGAACGAATCAAGATGAATGAAAACGAACATTGGTAGGAAAACTGGAAGGATGTTATTGGAAATGCTCCAGAGATTCACAATATTAAGGTAGAATTCTCATTTCCAGGGGGAAAAGTGGCTCCTCCTCCTCAGGTTCTATAAATGTGACGGATAATGCTGAGGTGAAAGTGGTGATGTGTGCTGGCCTTGAGGTCAGCAGGAAGTCGAAGCCCGAATTTACTTGGATCCTGAATGAACAGAACCATGTCCAAAACCCTGTTCCTCAAATCAAAAAGCCCTGTCTGCTTAGAAAGAAGTTGTTACTGGAAGTGGGAACAAAGAGATTTCTAAAAACCAAGCAAAAGAGCTGAAGTAAATGACATAACACATGCTTAAATAAAAGTTAACATCAATGGGAGGTGGGGGGTACGAAGAAGACTGACAACTGTATCATTTTAGAAACAAAAAGAGCTCAACAAAAATGACAAATAGTTCTGTTGAACATGCTGGGCTCCTTACTTGAGGTATCCCTGTGACCCTACAAGCCTTGCGCTATTTCAAGGCTGGGATGTTCCCCTGCAACCCTGTATTTGGAGTCTTTAAAAGATTAAGGCCACAGGACACTTAGGAAGGGGCCTGGCTTCTGGATTTTCACTTCCTATACTTAACTGCAAATAATGACTAGAATTTCCACCACAGGCTTCTGTACTTTAACGTCCTCCTCTTGGATAAAGACCCAAGGCTTTATCTGATCCCCCTTGAGGAGAAAGGGGAACCTAGTTTCTTCTTCAAGAAGTTAACTACCTGTCCTCTGTGTGCTCCCCAAAATCAGAGGCACTGCACAACGTAGGGAAAACTAGTTTCTTGGCACCCCACCAACCTCCCCATAACAGTGGCACACTTTAAGTTTTTATACAGCAGTTTCTGCATTATTTTTTATTGGAGTTGGTGGTTGTCAGATGTGGAAGCTAGTCCAATAGCTAGTCTGCTGGTCTCTACAAAGAAGGGACATTATATTTTATTATTTTTTAAATTTATTGATTTTTGAGAGATATCAACTTATTGTTCTACGTATTTATGCATTCATTTCTTGCTTTTATGTGCCTTGACCAAAAATCAAACCTGCAGACTTGGTGTATCAGGAGATGCTCTAACCAAATGAGCTACTGGCCAGGGAAAGAAGGGATATTTTAACAGGAAAAAAACCACCACCCCAAAACAGTAACAGCGGTTTCTGGGGATTCACCTGGGGAAGCCTGGAACTGTGATGCTGTGAGATACTTCAATGGCCATGCATCAGTTTTAAGAATATAAACACTGTCATACACATTTAAAATAACTGAAAAATTTTTCCATAGTGTAATTTTTGCAAGAACTCTATTCCTGCACTTACTTGTTCCAAGCCTTCCCATATCCAACCTGAAGGTAGGTGAAAACACCAGAGAAGGTAAAATGAGGAGAATGCCACAAATAAAACTTCCAACTCCATTTCTAAAGATCAAGGAAATATCATACACCTGAGGCCTCAACTGATTTTTGAGTTAGAGGCCAAAACTGGAATTGTTCTTCCTGGTCAATAATCTAATCTATGATAAGGTCCCATTAAAATTATCCTGAAGGATCGCTCCTGTGCTACACTTTTACTAGTAACTTTATTCACTGTCTACCACTCCACACACTAGAAAAGCAGTTTTAAAAGATCTTACTTTCAAGCATAACTTCTATTTTCTGTAGAAGATACTCTTCATCTTTTGTCATATACATTTAAAAAAAATAATTTTAAAAGATGTATTTTTTTTAGAGAGGAGAAAGGAAGGAGAAAGAGGAAGAGAAACATTGATGTGTGAAAGACACACAGATCAGTTGTCTCTCACACCTCCAACGGGGGACCTGGCCCACAACCCAGGTATGTGCCCTGACCGGAATCAAACCTGCAACCTTTCAGTTTGTGGGACAGCGCCCAACCCACTGAGCTATACTCGTCAGGGCATTACATACTCTTCGGTAACCCTCCCATTACCCCAAACCAATTTCAAATTTAAAACAATGGAAAACAAAAAACCTTCCAATAGAAAGAGGCATAATCTATGGGGAAAGTTCTTCTTTAATTGTGATAGCTAGGTTAAATCATGCCATCAGAAAATTTTCAAACCTGACTCAAGAAGCAAGATCAGGAAGCCATTCACATAAAATCTTTACAAATAAACAGATTTGTTTAAAAAAAAAGTTTTCCAGTGGGAGAGAGCACACTTAATGCTTGCAGCTAATTAATGATCAGGCAAGTATACCTGCCACTGAGTCCTAAAAATGGTTTCCATCTCTCAAATATTAAAAAACAAAACAAAACAAAACCCCAAGAGCAACGAGACCCCCTCCCCACCCACCAAAGGCACTGAAACAAAAGACTGATCTGTTTCATATAGTCACATGAAAAATAAACATCTTTATTTTTTGCCTACTTTATTTCATTTTTTCAAATAAAATTTAAATCTGTACAAAGTATACTGTTACAGTATATATTTTATAAGAATCAATGCCTAAAAGAATCACAATACTTCAATAAGCAGTACAGCAGACCTTGCTAGTTTCAGCTTTGATATTGAACAAACTCAAGCCAGCTGATGCACAACACATTTGCTTGGTTTCCACATGGTGAGTTCCCAGCACTGAGATGGGAGAACATGACAGCAAGTATGGTTTATATTACAGCCTGACACACTGCGCTTCTTCATGTGATAATAACTGCACATATTTAATACAGAATGCTCAAATTTACTTTTTAAATTGCATTTGCTTACTTCTTAGTTGGCAAAATTAAGCATTCTTAATGGGGTCCCCAAACAGTGCAAATTAATGATATTCTACTGTATAATTGGCACATCTCCAATAAGGATTAACTTGTAAACTCAAAGAATATCACAACTTTGTCCTAAACTTTAACTAATATACATCTGGTCCATTTAACCAAAGTCATTTTGGAAAGATATTAAAGAATAATTATATTTCTGAAAGGATATTGTTTCAACCATTCTTTGAAGATAAATTTTTAAATTGTCATTAAAATATTTTACTATAAAAATTTTACAAACTTGATTAGAAATTTCAAGATGATTCACAGCAGACAAATACAAACTGTTTATATTCCAACAATACCTACTTTTAGACTTTCAAACAGAGCACAACCATGTCAGCTGTGTTAACTAAAATTCTGAACAATGTACTAAATTTGTAAGTGGTGCTGGGTCTAGCAAGTGTAAATACACAGTATATTTTGATGAAAAGAATTGTCTTCTTTATACTTTATTTGTTTTCCCATAAGGAAACATTAATGTTTACATTCTTTAATAAAGTTAATCTTACATCAGAATATAACTTAATACTGTCAGCAACAGGAACCACACACAGTAAATAAGAAGCACATTTAAAATAAGTCTAAATTCACATAGATTAACATTTGTTGGTTAATAAAATATCGACAGTATTACAATCTTACAATATTTACAGTAAGAAAAATCTAGAGTAATATATACCTTTCACAGCAGGATTCCTTTTTTTTTTTTTTTTTTAATTTCTTCCAGTTTGGGATTGTGTATACACAAAAAGCTCAAATAAAGCAACTCTGCAATATAATCTTAAAATAATGGCTACTGGGGGAAATTCTATCACAACCATTGAAAATAATGGTGACTTTTCACGGAGTCTGTGGCATCTGAGAACCCAATTAATTAACCAAAGTCTTATTCAAACCAGCCTCAGTTACCCAGATTTAAAGCTGCAGAACTCCGGCCTTCCCTGACTACTGAAAACCCAACAGATTTTCTCAAAATGCTGTAAGAAAAGAGGGACAATAGGTTTCAGCTCACACCTCATGGCTAGCACATTCCCCAACTTATGCTAAAAGAGGGCCAATTTCATCCCCAAAGCATTACAAGAGTTTACCCTCCAACTACAGGGTACTTTGACACCAAACTCACTCATTCCTTAATTTTTATGCAATTACGGTAAGACATGAACTTGACCTATATAATACACACCAAGAGACTTGGGACTGGGGCAAAAAAAACAACAACAGACTAGCTTGGTTTGTATTGAGATAAACAGGGAAAATGGGAAGCAATGTACATTTCCAATTAGAATGGCAAGAAGACCCACATCCCTAAACTGGAATTTTGCCAGGGCATCAGAGTTAGCACCCCCTCTCTGAGTACCACAAGCAATCAGGATGTGTGCTCTGGGCCTCCTCCAAGAGAGAGCAACTACAGTAAGTAACACCATGTGGGACATTAGTTCAGTGATGACTCCCAAGAAAGCAGATACAATTCTTGAAGCTGGGGCTGTCCACAGCACCTGAAGGCACTCATCTGAACTGTGACTGGTCCCAACCCTGCCTACTTTAAGAGATCTGATGGGCACAGAGCACTCAGGGATACAGCTGCTGGCTACTTTGGACTCTAGATCTCACAGGTAATCAACAGGTATCTGAGATTGAATTAGCAAACTGTACCATAGCTCCTTAAACAGACACTGTCAGGTCTGAAATCAGGTGAAGTATGAATCTTCACTGTCAGATCAAAAATCAAAGTGGGAGTCTTCCCACATCAGCCAAGATTATTTTGTCAAAACCTTAGAGGAGTTGGACAGTTTTTCATATTGCAAGTGATTAGTTTACTTATTTTAGTCAAGCTGGATTGGCAAACCAGACTGATCTATTTAGTTAGTTTTGTTTTTTTGATTCTTAATGTGTAAACCCAAAAATGTTTTATTTGGGCTAAATACACTGACAGAGAAAATTCAAACAACAAAAGTTTTCAGCAAACTTCTGTGGCATTTTATTTTTGGAAGTCAATGCAAGATCTAAAGGTATTTCTACCCAACAAAGTCTGTTTAAGTGTTTCATGTTATTTCATTTTTGGTCCTATACAGAATGCTATGACTTCTATATAGGTCTGAATGCTGCTCCATGTAGATTCCTTCTGTATATCTAAAAATATATACTTTTCAGTAGTTCAGTACATGGTTAATCTTCCCACAGAGGAAGATTTTTGTAATCACATGTTGCAAAGTAGAAAAACATCTCCTTTCAAAGAAAGGAAATATACTTTCCTATTGTACACTTTTGAATAAGCCCAAAGGCATGCACCAAAAATCATTATTAAAATTAATACATGCACTAAAATGGTGTAGAGTTAGACTTAAAGTGCTGCTTCTCAATTTTTAAATTTGGAGAAGACATCTTGTCAGTTGTTGACTCAAAGATCTCCCCCCACTCCACCCACCCCACTCCATGGCATCAAGAGAGAAAGCAAGAAATATGCATAAATCTTTAAACTATTCTTTACATGGGGGAAAGGACAGATATACCAGCTATCCTATTTATAAACTGGATTTCCAGTTTTAAATAAAACCAGTATTTACTGGTAAAAATTGTCAAAGCTACTATATCCAGAGAAATGTTACCAGTAAATAATGTTCTACATAGAGAATAATTTACTTTGGTTTTATGCACCTTCTCAAAAATAATACTGGTGTCCCATATATCACTGAACTGATGTTTTCTAGCGAAGTTGTAAGGCAAATCTTTTTTTTTTTTTTCCTTCTAGTGACATCTTGTTTCCCAACAGACAAAACTGAAATCTTTTGGTGAGGAAGAGGTTAAGATAATGGCTAACCCCTTGGCATCCTGAGCATTGTGGTTTATCAAACTCTACCCTGCTAAAAGCTGTCAGGCACCCTGACCCCTGCCTTGAACCAGGAATGGCTCCCATGTCTAGAGATGCCCTGACTCCTTATAAATAGCTCTCAGAACTTTGCTTTTTTCCTTCTGTCTGGATGTTATAGTCTAACAAAGCTGGTTGCAATGTCACATTTTGCTAGTAGGGGCCACCATGTAACAATAATTCCAATCTGAAATGTCTTAGGCCAATAGTTAGTTCCTAATTTTATCAATTAATTGCATACAAATTTTCTCTATAGAGTTTACTTAGAGCAGAGATCCTTAACTTGGGTTTCAGAAGATGTGCGATGCCCCTGAGGTTGTTTGTAAAATTATCTATGTGCATTTTTTTGGGGGGGGGGGGAGGGTCCATCACTTTCATCAGATTATCAAAGGTTATCTATGACCCCAAAAAGGGGTTACAGGTACTTAGAGGGATACCCGTAATTCATTTTATACCAGGATTGGGAAATGGGGGCAGAAAACTAAAAATGGCCTCAAAAAAGGGGTAAGCCAAATTGCTAATCTTTTCCCTTTATTCACACTTGGAAAATAGTGCTTCAAACTAGGAAAAATAATTAAGCTGATTAAACTCTATTAAAAAGTAAAGCCATGTTCTAAAAATTTTTTCAGTTTTCATATATGGTGAATTTAGTCTCAAAGGAGAGGTTTGGAGACTGGATTTTTCTCTTTCCCCAAAGGAAATTCATAGGTATAATATTGATCATCATCTACATTTAAAGTTCTGACAACATAAAACTTAAGACAACTCTAATGATGTAAGCCTTTAATTTATGATTTTGAGTAAAGGATTATCTGGAATCAGATGCATGTCTCTCAACTTTCATTTCCCAAAATTGGTCCATATTCAGACAACTACTGGGCACAATTCCACTAGGTAAGCCTAAAATCTGAACAATGGAAATTTAACTTTCTACCCAAATTAAAAACAAAGCTAAAAGGTTCCAGCCACAAACATCCACACTATGTCAGAGGACTTTCTCATTTCAGATACATCACTAAATTTTCAACACAATTTGCAAACATAAGATTCAGAACTAGCAAAACATGCTGAGAAGAGCATGTCAAGAATTAAAACACTACCCCCTGCCCACCCCTCCCAATCCAGAAACACACTCAGGCATTCCAAAAATAAACCAGATCTAAAGAGAGGCCTCTCACTTGTTGGGTTTAAGTATGAAGTGCCTAAAAGGCTATGGGAAAGGGAATATAAAATGAAATAATTAAATAACTTACAAAAATAATTTTAGCCAAAACATTTCTGTTCTATTGACAAAACTTTTTTTTTTTTTTTTTTTTTTTTTTGCAATTCTGAACCTAAGTGTGTTGCACAATCTCACTAAGACAAAAAATATGTTCACAGGTACACTTTTTGTTCTCTTATTCTTTCTAGAGCACATCTTGAGGTTCTAAGAATGCCTCTAGTTAAAATAAAGTCTCTTATCCCTTGCCACGCCCCCCTCAAAAAATGAGTCAACCTTGAATTCCAAAAAGGAATATTCATTTAATATAATTATTTCTATACCAGTAATATCACATAGACCATGAGAAAACTCTATGAGCATTATGGAAAACTACATGAAAGAGGGAGTGCCACTTGCCACCCACTTCACTTCCAGATTTTTGAGCCAACAGTCAGCTAGACTCAAATCTCATTGACTTGAGTGACAACAAATCACTCCAAAACCAGGCCATCTCAGGCTGGAAGCTGAATCTCAAAGAATATATATATTCATTCATATATATGTGTATATATATCTCAAAGAATATATATATTCATTCATATATATATATATATACCCTAAGCTTTCACTTTGTCTATTCAAATAGAATAAAGCTCACATTTACAAAGGATTTTATTGGCAAATAAAGGCCCATATTAAAAATTTCATCAAAACAATTTTTTCTACACAGCTAACACTAAAAATATTTTCTTGGATTTATAAAGCATATTTAATTGCATATAAGCTTGCTTTGGGTGGGATATTGAAAACATAACTCTTAAGAAATTAGAAAGACTAGAAACAAAAGTGAAAGTGACTAGTCTTAACTTTCAAAAATCAAGTGCAAAGGTAAATAGTGCAAATAATGAAAACTAGAAAATTTATAGGCAATTTTACAGAGTTTTTCCTGCTTTTGCACTTTTACATATTGACAATTTTATAAACCCTAACAACTATGCAGCATGGAAATGGGCTATCATTTATCTCCATTGGCTAGACTCACGGAAGCCTTTCATAGACATTTAAATCACTGGTTGTAGACACAGGTTTGGGAATTCACTTCTTTTGAAACAATTCCTAAGGGTGGGGGTTATTTAAGAAGGCTCTGGACTGACTTGTAACTGTATTATAATTTCAAATCTGCCACATAATGAATTGTGAAAATTATAGTCAACTCTACAAAATGTTATAAAAACAATTCTGATGTTAACAAACTTGACAAAAAATTACCTTCTAAATACAAAATCAAAAGCTCTCGTTTAGCTATCTTTAAAGAGATTTTATCACTAATGTACACAGATTTGGGTAAAATTAAACTTGAAAGTAATGTCAAAATCACTAAATTGTATTAAACTAGAAAACATGAGTTAATCCAAATATACTTGAATTATGTAACTTTAAAAACAAATATTACAGAAATTCTTTATCTTAAATAATTTAAAATGCTTTGGCGATATTGGGAACAGAAATCTAAACACAATCAATTCACTCTACAAAGGGCATACAAGCTTCTAAAATGTATTAAATTATACTATTAATATATTCCATCACTGAACTCTTGGGAATTCTACAATTTTAAAGTAATAGAGGTGGAAAAACAAACAAATTTGGGAGGGCATTGTCTAATTTCAGAAATATATCATTCTGAGGATCTCATAAAAGTTACAACTTTAAACGGTTGTTAGGATTGCAAATGCAAAAGAAATAGAAAAGACACCTAATATTGCAATTTAGTGTTTTTATCTGGCTTATTGTTCTAAGAAATTCATGTGGACCAAAGGCTCAAGATTCTGAAAAAGCAAGGCATAATAAATATAGGGCAGATATTTGTGGACTGCAAAATCAAGTGATTTTGATCTAAGGACCATTTTGAAAAGTAAAGATAAGCTACAGTGTAACAGGAGCTCAGGAGAACAGATAATACATATGATATATATTCCTGATAGTTTAAAAATCATAACTGAAAAAGTTTGAAATTTTATCTTTTCTCAAAATACTAAGTCCCCAGTACCAATCTGCCATGACCAGAAAAGTTACCATTCCACAATTTCTCTACTTAATTTGTCCAGAAAAGGAAAAATCCTACATCTGAAAACAGGTTTGTATAATGCATCATCATCATCATAACATCTAGCTATACACCAACAGCTTTCTCATAACCAACAAGGTACCCATTTTTTCTGGCTTTATTGAAACTTCCTTAACGAAGATCAACTCACTGCCCTTGGCCAACAACTCTTAAGAGTCTACCTTAGTATCTTTTTCTATCTCCAATAAAAATTTCTCCCACTTTACTTCCAAACCAAACCATTCCCTTATATACCTCTCACACTCCCCTCCTCAAGACATATCAAACAGCTCTCCCTTTTCTGCTCTCAGATTTCCAAACCAGTCAGTCTCAGCCCCCAGTAACTTACCTAAAATACACATACTTCTAACTCTCTTTAATTTACAAATTTCTTAACAATATTGCTATCTTTCAAACTACCAACTTTAGATTATGGGGCAAACAGCAGTCATAAAAACTGCCTGATTTCCTCACAATACAGAAATGTTTCTGGGGTCAGTTAGCGCTGTTCTAAGGTAGGAGTCAGCAATTTCTTTACTTCCTTCTCAAGGGGGTAAGTTTTAGTGCCACTGGCAGTCCTATGGCAAGAAGAATGAAGAGATAAACAAGAAAAAAGGAAGACGGGTGAAAGAAAATGCCAGATGTATTTGGTAGGGAGGTAGGTCAAATGCCACCAACAACTACCTGCACAGGAAACTGTCAACCCACTCCAGGTGAATGGGAGTTTGATCCAATCCCAACATATGTCTAATAATTCATTAGCTGATGGCCATTACTGTTGGACTAAGTCAAAATGAATACATAAGTTACCTGTCTCATTAGTTTGACTGCCAGTTTACAATAAGGACATCTTTTCTTAAGTCCTCTTAGGATCCTTCTGCATTAATCCAGTTTAGACCAAAACTCATGCTAACAAGAGTATTTCCATGTTTCTCAAGATCCTAAAGCATAGAAGTTTGGTCCTTGAACTTGGAGGCCTCTTAAATTATTAAAGTGCATCCTAAATCAAGAAAATTAAACTCTTTTAGTTTAAAATATTCCCATGAAATGCTACAAAAATTTAATAAGCAAATAATCATTTAAAGTATGTATGCATGAAAATGCAAAAATATTGCAATTCTAAAATGAATATTTCTGATAAGAAGTAATTTTATTTTACATAGAGTATCACCACCACGTTTCTACCTGTCAAACAAGACAATTTTCCACAAAAGCAAAGCACATCAGTAAAAAGAAAAAAAATAAATACCAAACATAATATGGGGACAAAATGAAAATAAATGAGTAGCCATGAAATTCTTAAGAAAAATGTTTTTAACACGTGACTTTTGCCACAAACTTTCCTAAAGATGTAAGTTGCCTAGACTATTCAACATCAAAACTTGGTAGTCAAGTTTAGCAGCTGAAAGATGACAAACTGTTGGCTTGAAACCAATCATCTTTCACTTTTCATCTGGTTGTTCTTTTATCAAGAAATTCTACTTGACTCATGCTAATTAATGCTAGTTTAGATGATCTTCACTTAGCCCATAACAGTTTAAGTTCAAAAAGAGCTTGTTAAATGTCTTAGGCCTTCAATTTAGGTTTCGTTTTAGGATCAATAACTTTTCAAATATTAAAGTCAACTGTTCTTAAAAATATATTGTAAATTTTCTATAGTAATTAATTCTGCCAGGTGAAACAGTAATTTTAATAACAGTGGTCACTTTAGTTTTATAGGGTACTTCATTGTGAATGGCCTATAATCCGTTAACTTGCAATGAAGAAACAGAAATATTACAATGTCTGATGTAAAAATAAACTTTAACAACTTTGCACAAATAATTTGTGTATTTATTTACTTAAGCAATGCCAATAAATTCTTTTCTCAATTCAATCCTCATGTGGAAGTATATATATCTCCAAATTATTAAGATATTCAAATTTAGGGATAATCAACAATAAATGTTATACTCAGAGTTATCACCAATTGTTCCAAACCTAAGTTTTTTAGCTAAAGATTCCCTTGTTTTAGCATGCTTTTACTGAGAAATCAGGATCTCATCCTGATATTGGAAAGACTCTGAAAAGGGAAAAGAAGTCATTAGATTTGGTATCTCATGTTTTGGGGGGGGAAAAATCTTAAAAATATGTTCATATGTATAGTAAAATGAACTGTGGAGCTGTAAAAGCCACCAAAGCAACAATTTCAGAAATCGCCATTCTAAGATCATCTGGAATGTGTGTGTAATACTTTAAAAATAAGTGGGAATATGAAGAAGAGGAGGTGAACCATTTGAGGGAGATAAAAATAATCATGTCCATGGTAGGGTCACCACAGTTGGCAAATAACCCAAAATGTCACAAAAGAAAAGTGTGTTTAGAAAGTTTCTACAGTGCCAAATGAAAATGTTAAAGCACAGAAACAGTGAATGAGATAACCCCCACAAACATCAATTTCCATAAAAAAACAGGAACAAAAAATCGAAGTAAGCATCGTTTTAATATACCAAATCTTAACTGACTTAAAAATTATGTGAAGTGCTTGGGCCATAGTACCCACCCAGATTCTCATTATCAACAGACTTATCTTTTCCCCTCCCTTCCACCCAAATTTAGTTTCCTGCAGAAAAGTACAGCATTCCTATAGTAATAAGAAATGAAAACAGTGAGTACAACTGATATAGATCCATTGACTTTTATTACAAATGTACTTGATCACTTGGCTTCAAAAAGTTTAAAATCAATACCCTATTTTCTGTATGCCAGTACAAAGCAAACTGTTTTACAAATTAAATACCTAAAAATTTGACAAAAATATTAAAATTTGATGAAAAACAATTATAAAAATCCTTAATCTCTCTTCAAAAAAGGAGGCAGTCTTCCCAGTCCTATTATACAATATTAATAATATTCACCATTTTTAGAATAGGTAGCTAAATTATATTTTTCTGTTAGCATACAAAACTCTTAGACTAATAGATTTTATTTGTATATGCTCCAGTTAAGTTTGTGAATGCCATCTGATTGCAATATAATCAACTATCTTTGAGTCCTAATTTACACTTGTTTAATAATTTGCATAGTTTAAAAGGGATAAAAGTTATTCTACAACTAATTTTCATAGGCTATTACAGTGCTATTTTTCAAGGCATTAAGTATTTGCTCCCAAATGAAATTATCTGTCTTGTTTAGGCAGGGGTTAAAATTACTAGCAGCTTTCTCCATTACCTGAAAAATCAAATTGGAATAGTTATCCATCTCTAGATATGAAGACCTAAAAAACACATTGATATATTTTCCACTTTGAGTCAAATTTCAACCCCTGCATGGGACAGCTAGAAAGTGAGACTTTCAAGGTTTTTTATTTTCCCTGTTGGTTTTGGTTTCTACTCTCCATGGCTTTTGAGAAGCTGGAAAAGTCTGTCTTTCCTGACTTGCATTATTGTTTTTTCCATTTGGCAAATATTCATCTACCTCCAATCTTTATCTAGTGGAGGAAAAGCCGACATGGCTTTTCTTATAAACTTCCTTTGTTGTCAAAGGCATGTATAATGATTTCTACAGTTCTGGTTAGTTAACTTTAGCTCCCTCTGTGGCTGGATGACTGCTGCTTCTAACATCAGCATGATAAATAGGAGGCACAAATAAAAAGTAGCTTAAAAAAAGATTTGGTGACTTAAAAGAAAAAAACAAACAACACCAAACACACACACATATATATGGGCATTTCAAATCTGGTGGCTGATCTCTAGATTAAATTACTTGACAGTGTCTCTCATTTTAAAGAACTTCAATATTGCAATGCATTTCAAGTTTTCTTTTATACTTAGGCAAATAATAGTTTAACCAAGCTCTTGGACCTTAATTGTAAGACAAAGCAGATCATTAAAAATAAGGCATACTTGTCAGGAATTAAGTTTTGTTTGCTTGTTTTTGGCACATTTGATCATACTGTCTTCTATGAATAACACATATGGTCAAATATACCAACCATTTCCTTTTTTGTTTCAGCACAGAGTTTACCAACTAGTAAAATAAAAACAAGGAAAAACTCCAACATAAAACACTGAAATATAGACCTTGGTAAAGTACCGAGCACCTGGGGGAAGGGTGGGGAAAAGATGAAATAGGAGAGGGCAGAAGAGAAGGTTTGGGAGGGTGCTTGGGGAGGTAAAGTGAGATGCAAAAAAAAGCATCTTTACAGTCACTTAGTCTTTTCTATGATCATCTCTTAAGTCTTAAATGATCTGCATGTGGATTTGTTTTTAAACCCACTGACCATAAATCAGACAATGGTTTCAAAACCTTAGTAAGATTGTGTTTAACTGTTATAGTGTAAAGACAATTGCACAATACGTGTGCTTCTTGATCCGGTAGGATTCCAAGCAGAATCTGAAGTCTATAGGTAAGAAAGGTTTCACTTTAGGTAACTCTGACCCTAAAGAAAACCTCATGAAAGAACTCGCATCTCAAAGGAAGGACACTTTGCCTAAGTTTGCTGTGTTTTTGTTGACCTGCACTACTTATTGCTGGCTACTATGAAACACTGATCTAGGAGTACTCCAACAACCTGTAGTACAAGGCTTAACTTTAAGAAGCTATAGTAAACAAGAGACAAAATCAAAGCAATTCTCTTTCCTAACTAGTAACAGCACAGAGAATGCAGTCTTTTCCATATCACAGTTAAAGTACAGTGAACAAAACAGCTCAACAAATTTTAAGACAAAAAAAGTGCAGGTTATTAATGTTTACATGCAGTTGATAAGCATTCCAAATGTCACATTATGCACTGTAAAAGCTCAACTTTACTATATGGAAATAAGAAAAATGCACCTTTGGGAAAGGGGGAAAGCAATTTAATCATTTCCAGTGATTTTGTAAGTAAAGAAACTCCTAACTATTGTACGGTCACCTCATATTTAACATTGTATGAATATTAAAAGCAAACAATTTAATGGGAAAATGCACAGTACAATGGAAATAGCTTGTTATTCAACACATACAGTAGATCTAAAAAACAAAGACAACACACTCAACCAGGGAGCTTAAAAATATCAAATCAAACCCAAAGAACCAGCAGAAAAAAAATCCTTCAAAAAGACAACTGTTTCACCTTCCTAGGCCAATGCTTTACAATATGAGAAGCACTGACACCTTCCAGCTCCTACAGGTGATGTCTCCTACATACAGCAGTTAGATCTATATGTCTGGATTTGCCAAGAAACAATTCCATCCCCAGAACTCTCACTGTCAGACAAAATCTTTTTTTTTTTAACCAAAATACTTTCTACAGAATTCCAAACCAAAATGTACTGTTTAAGGCATCTTTTTTATAACATTTTCTCTTCACTCAAAAGATGATAGTCATGCAGCAGTTTAATGATAAAAATATATTAATATTTTACTATACAGCAGCAAGAAGTTAGTTGTCAATTAAAAGCACACAAACATCTTTAAATGAAAACCTGTAAAAGACTATCGTTACAAACAATTTCAGTTTGGAGGACACCAGCTTGGTAAAGTGCTCTCCTAAGCTTTCCATTTTCATACCCTACACCTTGAATATATGAATTATAGAACATACTTTTGATAGAAGGCTTGTACACTTGGGGAACACAAATACACTTAGCATATAATGTAGCCAGTAATAACTAGCACCACAGCTACATGGAAATCCTTTACATACACCAACTTAACTTGACTTTCTCTTTTTAAATGAAACTCAGAATCCATGGCTCAGTAGGATAACTGTAATTGTGTTGCTCTGCTTTTTAACAGGTCTACATAAGTTAATAGCACTGGCAAAAACCAAAGGATAGCTTCGGACCTCTTACAAGTTTAGGAGACAGTGCTAGTGACCACAAATAGACTCACTACCTGATGTCCAAGTACAGGTTCACTGGAAATTGCTGCACGTTAGTTAAGTTTTTAAAATCTTTCTACACATAATA